AAGTCGCTGGTCTACGCAGATAAGTCCGAGTCGACTGACGCCTAAGAAGAGATTATTAATTATAACATAATGACAAAACTTTATCTTTATAATAAAGCTAAATTTTTGGCCATAACATTAAGTTATATGCGTTTTATTCGTTCTTGAAAACAACATGTCTAAAAAAACACTCTTTAAGATTATATGATATAGACACTTATTTCCTTTTTATTGCTATATGAAACATATGCATATCTTCATAAGGATTAGCTTTACTATATATGTACCACCATGGTCAAAGATTCTTTAATGAAAGGTTTTTTTATAAATCGTAGAGCTTACAATTCTTATCTAGTAGTGAAATAAATTGGTCTGTGTCAGTATAGCTATCCAAAATCCATACACCAACTACGCCTCCGACATCATTAGGTGACGATTTACTAGTCTAGGGTTCAATAAATCTGGGCTTAATTTTATTCCGTACATAATATAACCTCAAACTATAGCACTTGCAAGCTATGAGTCAGAGAACATTTATAGCATGCCTCGTTGATGGGGGAGTTAAACGATTGATCGCGAAATCTCGCCAACTGTCGTAAGTCATAAATCATTCGACCGCAATATGAGCACTTATGCCTCAGAGATATATAATCTCCATTCAACTGTAAACAAATGTAGATCACGCGAGCGAGTGTGCGCTCATAAACCGGTACCGGCGTTGCGCTATTTATGCACCAAGTGCACGAGCGCATGCATACGAGTGTGCCTACGGTGCGGGTGATGAATATGTAAACGCGCGCAATTTACCGTTTGGTTGCTGCCACCGCCATCTTTTTAATGCCAAGGTGAGGTGCGCACAGCTGAGATTGAGACTGCGTCTGAGACGGCTGCTCAGCTGAGTTTGGTGCTTGACATGCGGCAAGGTAATCGATCATGACGATCGTCGATTAAGTGATACAGAAACAATAGCAATGTTCGCGAATAACTACAACAACTGCAAAAATTGTGAATAAAATGCGAAAATCACTGAAAATTGTGCTGAGCCTGCGCACCGATGGCGTCACTGGTGAGGTGCAGCGATTTGTAATCGAAATAAAATTAAATTTGAATACAACGCGGGCTAATGAAGCGCGAATGTGAACGTACAAGCAAAAAAATTATACAAGCACGTAAAAAAAACGAAGCAAAAACGAAACTATAATAGACAAAATCAAAGATTGAACAAGCAGTTAGCCAAGCAGTCAGCTGGTGATTAATCAATCAGCACTTGAACGCGTTTGTATTCACCGTAATAATAATGCGTTGCCATCAAGGCATAAATAAATAATATTGCTGGAGTTTGTGATGTTTGGGGTTTCGGGATTTGAAAATTTAAGTTTCGGGATCCCGAAATATGTATTTGAATCAGTTTCAGTAAAAATGCGTTGCCATTCACGTATTACATAAAAAACAATAGATATATTCTGTGTTGTATGGGATTTCGGGATTTCAAAATTTAATTTTCGAGATCCCGAAATATGTATTTGAATTAATTTCACTAAAAACACGTTGCCATTTAATTAATTAAAAAAACAGTACATTTTATGTTGTACGAGATTTCGGGATTTGCAAAATTTAATATTCGGGATCCAGAAAGAATTGAATTAGTTTAGGAAAAACTACGTTGCCATTCAATTATTGAAAAACAGTACATTTTGTGTGGCACGGGATTTAAAAAATTTAATATTCGGGATCCCGAAACTAATTCAACTGTAGTAGGAACAAGTAGGTATTAAATCAAAATACAGTGATTTTTGTGTATTTCGGAATTTCGATATTGAAAATTTAATTTTAGGGATCCCGAAATATTCGATATTATTTAAAATGGCAATAATTATGAAATAACAAAGTATATTTTGAAGTTCATGATTTTTATTTGTATTTAATTTTCCGAATTTGAAAATATTTGATTTAGTTCTGAAAAGGGTACATACATATGTATGTATGTAGGTGCACTTTGCTTGAAAATCCCGAAATGCAAATCCTGAAGTTGAGTCCCGCAATAACGGGATCCCGTAACTAAACTCTTAACATCCTCAAAACAATCGAACACAAATTCCGAATGTTGAGTCCCGAAATTTCGGGATCCCTGTACTAAACTTAGCTTATCTGCATACGTACATACATATTTATGAGTGTAACCCTATCTCCCGCAAAGAAACTGCAATTTGCCTGTACAAAGGTACACACATCATTTACATATGCCTGTATCACATGTACATATGTATGTATGTATGTATATACACCCGAAGTATGCAAATATATGCAACAAATATGCATAAACAGAAATAAAATTGCGCCAAGCGTGCAGTGGGAGTTGACCGTGATCGCTTGTCTGCGGTGGCTTATGGGTGCGTTAGTGGCAGGGCCAGCCGCCGAATGCAACGAATCACCGGCGCGTGTTGTTGCTCTTGCTGTTGCTGTTGTATAAGAACAGGCTATTGCTGGCGCGATCACTTAAGAATTTCACTCGTTTCTTTTTATTAGCACCTAAGCACACCTGCAACACGCAACAGCGTAGTGGCAGCGTAACCGGTCATCAGCCGCTCACCGCATGCTTGGCATTGCAACCATTGTTGTTGTGGTTATTGTTGCTATTAATGCTATTTTTATTGGAAACTTGCAACTCACAAGTCGTCCACGTGTGGTATAATATGAAAGTTGGTTGTTGTTGCGGCGACATGTGGTTGTTGTTGCTGCTGCTTGTAATTGAAGTCAAATGAGCGCGCCAACATTCGCTTGGCACTTGTGTACACACCGTATATATTTATTCTACACTTCACAGCTGCACGATGCACTTAAGCGCTCAAGTTGCTCTTGTTGTTGCATTTACGGCCACGGCATTTTATTGCTTCGACATCATTGTTTTCGGCCAAGTGTTTCATATGTTATTGCTGCCGTGATTGGCGCGCTTCTTCCTTAAATGGGCTGCCGCTGTCGTTGGTGGCGACTGCGACGTCAGTAACGGCATTGGCGTCGCCATTGCATACTTATGGACGCACCAAAAATGGCGCTGAACTGGAATTTGCTTTTAAGTCGCGCTGGTATGCGGTCCAGTGATTGCCGATCACAGATCAATTGAACATCTGGTGCGTGATTTTTAACGAACGGTGAATATGATATGGACTAGTATGCGTGCATATATGTAAATATTACACAGTTAACACTGGCTATTATATTATTTTAGATTATAATAATAACAGTTTAGAGAAAGTAGAGTAGTGATAACCCTATTTGTAACTGCTCTGGATTAAGACCATCTGGGAAAGCATTTACATACGGGTGTATCATAAAATAAAAGGGTTAATCCGCATATTTACACCATGTATGATATTTAGACAGTTGCCAACCTTACGTAAAATATATTTCTTGTATAATTAATTTCAAAATCGATACAATTTTATAGCATAAATATTAGTATAAACTTATTTTTTTCACCATATGAATTACATCTATTTAATATAAACAAATTTACATGTATTGAAAACTATATTCGTGCTCAATAGCATCATTCCAAGTATTGCCAATTTGAAGCTTCGGCTATGCAGCGGAATGAATCAAGCTTATTTTGTTGTGAATGGTTTATCAGTGAAGGTATCATCAGAACAAAAAGGCAAGTCGTAGGCTATAAGAAGAGGAGGCGAAACTTTTCAGCCCCCGTTTCCCATACATTCTTTAATTGGCCTTGCAGCGTGAAGCTGAGCGTTATTATGGGGGAAAAGTATTGCCTTGTGCCTAGTCGTCAATTTGAATATCGCTCGTTGCAAATTTGATGAGTTTTTGGCAACGTTCCCTATTAGTAATGTTTTCAACTGGTTTTAGAAACTTAAAATAGAGAATGCTCCTCTGATGCTACCAATACAGGTGGTTTGCCAAGTTTTGCATATGACTTTTCGATTTAGAGTTGTCGTAATGAATCTATTTTTCATTACCAGCCGCAATACGAAGAGTAAAGCTTGCTGCTCCCCATTTCCAAACTCTTATTTTCAACGTCTCCCGAAATATACTTTATCTAACAAGCCAAAATCTCCAGTTTTGAATGCATGAAGCATCTTTTGGATATCCACAGTATGATACACAAGAGGAGATATTGACAGTGAGGTCGCAGAATCTGTTAAAATTCGTGTCAAACACAGGCATCCTAAACGATGACTACTCCTCTTGGACTTATCAATTGAACACCATCTGGTATCGCAAAGGGCCAAACTGTTCTATGCGTGGCTTATTGGCCTACCAAATTATCCTAATCTAACCTAACCTGATTAACATTCCTCCAAAGAAAATAATCTAGAGGCGTTAAATCGCATGATCATCTTGGCGGCCATTTGATTGCGTTTTTTCTTGAAATTAAAGAGTCGCAAAACTTTGTACGTATGTAACCATGTTTAGGATTGAAGCATGATGCGGGCCACAGTCTCACTGGAAGTAGAGATCGTCATTGTCAATTTCATCAAATTGCGTGGAAAAAGTCGGTCAACATTATATTATAATGCTTGATGTTGATGGTTACAGTATTTTCTGTCCTATTTCAAAGAAAATAAGGCCCGATGATACAGTCTTACCAGAATCTGCATCAAGCAAACGTTTTTGGGACTGCAATTAGGCTTCTTGAACCACATGATGATTTTACTCAATCCAATAGTGACAATTTTGTTTGTGACAAAGTCATTAAGCCAGAAATGCTGCTCATTTGAGAAGATAATTTTTCGATGAACGTTTTTTCCACAATTTTTTGAGAACATGAATTTGGCTAATAATCTTGTACAATTTCCAAGCGCTGTACCAAAATAAAACGTGTCATGATGAAATGCCAAATCTTACTGAATATACTGACAAAATTTGACACAAAACTGTAAACGAACATGGCACTCACGAGCTGTTAAATTACCCCATGCTTATTGATAGACACGGTAGCTTCTGGTTAGCCGAATTTAACATTTTCTATTGTTCTAACTACTTATGAAAGAAAAGATCCGTTTTAATAATTTGTTGAAATTTAATACAAATACATATTTACACTAATACATACACATATTAAACACTATTAATTGTAAATGAATGCAAACTCGTGAAACTCACAAGATTGGAGCGTTATCGGCTAATTTGTACCACACTCCGCGTGCCCAAACAGATTGTACGCTGTAAGGGGGGGGGGGGGAAATGGGAATAAATAAACAAATCTGATAAAATATGGCAATACTTACTTTCTCCAGAGCGACAAATATGGGCTTCCAAAGCGCAACTATTCGAAAAGGTGCGTCTGACACCGTTATATTCAGCACATATGGGCCTATAAATCTCTATGCAGGCGTCAACACACATTTCCTGACACTCTTCTTTGGTGACTTCTCGCAACTCTGTCGAAGACGAAATCATTAAATATAACTAAGTTACAATTTACAGATTATTTAGTTACAACGGTACTTTAGAAATCGTTCTAACCTTCTCGTTTACTATTTAGACGCTGACAATTTTCATTTTTCAAATGACAGCCATTTCTCCACACAAAACATTTGCTGCCATCCGTGGACCAGACGACTTCTTCAACATCTGCACATCTGTATGCTATCGGACAGGGTCTCTCGGATGCGGCGGCTAAAATACAACTGACCAACAATAGCGTCAGTCCACAACTAAGGAGAAATTGTTCGAAGCCACGTTTGCACATTTTTAAGGAAAATTATTATTATTTTTTTTTCAAATTCTATTTTCTTTATTAACTTTTAGGTAAGTCTGCTCTAGCCGGCTAGCGTTCTGTTTCTGCTGTGCATTTTAGTTTTCGTTGAGACTGTTATAATTGGTTTTCATCATTCGCAATTATCTGTATTTAAAATTTATTATTGTACTATTTTTATATATGTATATGTGCACTTGTAGTTATATGGGAAAACCAAAGCACAGACGTGCCGGCGAAATTTAAAAAATCACCGGCACAATAAGCATTTTTTTTTATTAATTAAAAGTATTTGTTGCAATCGAATAACAATAAATATATACAATGTGTAGATACAACTGTATTATTTGTATTTAACAGAGGTTCATAATCATATAAATGTACACACAATACTCTGATGAATATGTACTCGTATAGAAGTTTCTACAGTAGGCCCTCAGAAAAATTAACTGATCAAAAGATAGAAATTTAGATAGTTTCCTTGAGGTTAGCCACGTAGTGTGATAATCTGAAAAAATTTTAATTTTTGAGAATTAAAAANAAAAAAAAAAAAAAAAAAAAAACGAATACATCGATCGTTTTTAAATTTTCGGATTTTATTTTTATAGGGTGATCTATTTCGAGGTTCTATACATTTTTAAAGAAAAAACACAGAGACTTTAAATTTGGTGGGGAATATTTATTATCATTCGAAAAAACATTCTTTGGAATTTATTTTTTGAAGATTATCTAAACCTCAAATGGCCTATCCGTTGAGTTTTATTTTCCATGACTCGTTCGAGTTTTTGGATTGGTAACTGGACACACGTGATGTTTTGCTCCAAGGTCTGAATCGAAGCGGAATTGTCTGCTTTAGACTTTACATATCTTTACTCCCCACAGGAAAAAGTCTAACCGACCCAAAGCATGAAATTGTCTGCTCAGTGAAGTGTTCTCTCAATAAATCTATTTATTGTTGCGTAACCGTCACGCTCTCAACGGCATAATTTTTGAATAAATATGGACCGATGATTCCACCGACCACCAAACCGCACTAAATCCTTGTTTTTTTTTTTAGGATGAATGAACGGCTTGTTTATATAGCCGTTGAGCCAGAAATGGGCTTCATTGCTGAAGAAATTTGGCTCAAAAAAGTCGGATGTCCTGGAAATTTTCAAGAGCGCATAGAGCGAAGCAATATCGCTTGGAAAGTTAAGCGGCTTTAGTTCTTGAAAAAGCTGTATTGTGTACGCTTTCAATTTAATTCAAAACATAAAATACACAAAGTCGTTGCATACGTCAGTTCGAGTTTCTGCGAACCACTCCGAATCGACTCTCCATGGTCTTAATGTACTTGATCTATTTGGTCAAATATTATCCAATAATGAATGCCTGGTCTCAAGATGGGCGAAGGTTTTGCGAATAGTACGCTCAGTAGGCCGATTATGTTGATAAAAGTTGAGCGAAGCGCGCGAAACATATTCTTTACAGAACGTGAATTTTCGTGTTAAAGTTTAACGATTTATAAACTTTGTTTAGGCGTCATCATCTTTCCACGATGAAATGCCAAACAATACTGAACAACAATACCATGGCAGCTTGACACAACTCACGGTTGAACTGTCTGCATCGCTCGTTGCTTTCGAAGATATGAGCGTTATTGTAAGAATTTTTGGACTCAGTATAATCGCCTGAAATTTAAATGCGTTTTTTCCAAATCTTTTTTCAGAGTCGGTGAAGAAAACTTCTTCGAAAGATATAGACTGATCGACTTGAGATTTTCTGACGACTCAAATATATTTGTCAAGTACGGATTGAAGCAATATCATTTTTGATAAAAATTCTATTCTAAAGTGTAAAATAACTTTATTTATTTTAGTGAACAGCATTTGGTCAAAAACCAATATTTTGACTAGTTCTTGCTTTGGTTCTTGGATTGGATATAGTTTGAACCAAGAACTGTTCGTCCTGGAGATCGTCTTCGGGATAAGGGAAATCCAAAAATTTTTCCAATCACCGGTAATTAAACTACTTAAAATTCTGTAAATGCATCTAATTTTATTTATTTCATAAATGTCTCTTTAAATACAAGCCAAAAGGAAAAATAAGGTTCTTGAAGATCTAAACAGGAACCCATAGACACAAAAACCATAATAACGATCCCAATTCATTTATGAAGCAACTTTCAGCATATAAAACCCATTTTATTAGTGCAAGCTCGTGCAAGAATAATAAAAAACGTTCAATATGGTTACACAAAAGCTATATCCTTCACACATAAAACAATTCTATATAAGACTTCATTTTGATCAATCAATTTATAAGGTAGGTTAAGAGTAGTCGAAAAAGTCTCTTCCTATTTTGTCAATAGATGTGTTTGCGGTCGTATATCTCCAGTGCTACCAATCACATTGTGTCATACCATATAGTGTAGAAAAGGTGAGGTTTTAAGCTTCAGTTAAGCAAAAGAAATTGTGAAGTTTACGATGACGAAGCTGTATCAGTTCATGTAGCACAAGCATGGTTCGCTCGCTTCCGTTCCGGAAATTTCGAAATTTCGATTTACACTGATGAAACTTTTGCACTGATGGAATTATGTCTCTAGCGGAAAAATGGTAAAAAGTGGTCGATCGAAATATTTGTTTATTTATTTATTAGTAAAAATATAAAAATAAAAATAAGTTGAAATTTGTTTAGAAATAGAAATCTTTTTCGATTACCCCATATATAGTATACTCAATATATTGTAGAGTTTCTAACGTCTTCTTTTTGGAGTCACAAACTTCGGGACAAACTTAATATAATATAATACCCTGTTCAGTGTATTGAAATACATACATTCATATATACTTATAGGTTTAAGTATCCAGTCAGTATAGCTACACATTTGCTCCACTTACGCGTACATTTCATTAGCATCGAAAACTGTCTCTTATACACATCTAGATGTGTATAAGAGACAGATATAATACCCTGTTCAGTGTATTGAAATACATACATTCATATATACTTATAGGTTTAAGTATCCAGTCAGTATAGCTACACATTTGCTCCACTTACGCGTACATTTCATTAGCATCGAAAACATGCGTCTGCTTGTTTCTTCATCAGTTCACACATCGCATGATCAGTAAAGCGCTCAAGTACGCAACCATTGAACTGCTCAAGCAATGCGGTGCTCTACTGCTCAGCCGCTCAGCCACCCAAAGCAGCCAGTTGGTAGTTGCGAGTTGCCAGCTGCCATCATTTAACATTTACCAAACGAACTTTCCAATTTCGTTTCAACAACCCAAGTGGAGTGAATGGAGTGTTTAAATATTTCGACAAACAATTCAGCTGCACTGAAGTGTGATAATTAACCCATTTACACTATGCAACAAAATGCGCGCGCCATTGACTGTGAAAACAAATTTGTGCCTGGCTGCATGTTTGTGTAGTTGTTTGTGCATTGCTTTGGCGCACTGGAGGCTGGAAATCTGAATACCGATAAATAAAGGCGAAAAAACGAGAGCAAAACAATGGCAGCGTTAAATTGTTTTGTTTAAGGCAAACATGCTAACAATTAAGGTCATTTGGCTTGGTCAAAAAGCTGTTGAAAAGGTTTCACCGCTCACCGCCAAGGAACTTTCACAAATCTGTCACAATCCATTTGCGCTCGTGCAGCCTTCATTTAATGGGTGTGTATGTATGGTGTGCGCATTCGTTGTGACATTCTTAATTGAAATTGAATGGAACGAATGGACGGTGGCAAGGTACATGCGATCGACATATGTTTATACATATCTACTCACATGTACTATATATGTATTAATATATTATATAACTACATATATAAATGTAAATAACTTTAGCATGCCACAATTATGATATTGAGACGTGTTTTTGAACTCTACAAACTGGCAACAAAAAATCGATTAGTTATTGCTCAATGGAAGCTTTGGCGAAAATAAAATATTTTAAAAGCAAAATATTTTAAAAAAGCAAAATCAATGACTTCCATAAAAAAAATAATATCCTGTTTTCTTAACAAGATGTACCAGATACAATGAAAAAAAAAAACAGTTTATGTTTTATTATTCAGCATGATAGGGTGAAGCAAGTTGTTGGGGTTTTTAGACTACCTAAAAGAAAAAAAAAGACAAGGAATGCTGGTTCTGAGGAGTGTTTTAAGGCCCTAAATCGTAATAAAACCAAATATTTACATTGTTATGTTATAATGAATGAAAGTAATTGCCTTAAAACCTTATCGACATGTACAGGGTTTGTCCGGAAAGTAATAGCACTGATTTTCTTCGAACGCTACTGTATTTCGGAGCAGCGTACACCGACTGGATTCGGTAGATTGTGTTCTTAGCTAACAAACGAGCGACTAGTTAGTTGTCTCCGAGCACCTGGATGACAAAGCGGCATCCCAACGCTTCCGTGGTAGCCCTATAGCCCAGATGTGGTCCCTCGGACTTTTTTGTTTCCTTGCCTGAAAAGGCCGATGAAAGGCAAGTATTTTGAGGCGACAGAGGGGATCCTAGCAGCGTGCTCTCGGTCCCTCAAGACTATTCCGGAGAATGCCTATTGTGTAAGTTTTTAAGGCATTGTAATGATTGGTTCAATAGTTTTTTTTAAATCGACTCAATCCTATTACTTTCCGGACAAACCCGATAGAGACATGTTCAGCCTTTCTCCTTTGATTCCAAGAATTCTTATTTAGGCAATAAGAGACGAAAACGAAATGATGAGATTTCCATAAGTGCCATCCGTCTGGCTACCGAACGACTACAGTTAACACGGAATTTATTGAAAACGATATATAGTACAATGCAATTTTCGAAAAGTCTGACAGACATGCCGGATCGCCTAGATCATTTGAAGAAAAACACGCATGCTTTTTACGAACACGATCTCGAGAGGACTGCAGGACGTTGTTGATCTAATGATATGTCACAACTTATTGGCATCGCAAGCGAGTCGGATAACGAGAGGCGCTGGAACACCTCCTATGCTTCTGTCCAGCGGTAGCTAAAACTCGCTTTAGATGTCTAGGAGCATCACAGTTCAAGGGACTAGCTAAAGTATCCAAGTTAGATAACAAGTTGCTTCAGCTCAAAACAAACTGAACCTCCATTTGG